TATATGTGTGTATGTGTATGTTCATATGGACATAAATGACAAGATTACTTTTTCTATGCCACAATTTTTTTTCATTTTTCCATTGATTTACTAAATACGAGTTTAGCATCTGACTGAACCGTGTGCTCTCTGACATTTTTTAGCGTTCGTGAGGATTACCGTCCTATGTAGGTAGTGTGTTATTTTCTCATCATGCCTGTAGTGTGTAGTTTCTGTACCGAGGGTCAGACTGTCACCTATTTCATCTCGATGTGCTATCGATCGCTGAGGCTGATGTTCATCCATTTTATACTGGATTGATACAGATAAACGGCGGCAGTATAGTCTTCATGGATACTTGCGCGAGTGAGTCGCTGAGATGGTCGGGTATAGGCGGTGGTGTCTGTGCCTTACTAGACGGGGGCGCGTACAGTGTGTTGGAGTTACAGGCAAACGAAGCTTTCACAAAGAATAGCTTGGGTAGAGATGAGCGTGCGGAGTTGTATCCGAACTTCCAACCAGCGGGCCACTGTGTAGGGCTTCAGGGCAGTAAAGTGGTAGTGGTCGCTGGTACATCACTAAGTAACGTGACACATCATCTCAGAGCTGTGCTACAGTCGAACAAGTTCGGAGAGTGTGTGGTGCTGTGTGGCTACGATGGCAAAGCACACGATATGACGACAGGTAATGCGAGTGCGCATGCACGTAGTGTGGCCATGGCTGTGTACCTATATAGACTTCATATGATGGAGAGGGGTTTAATATTCTGTATTTCCATTGTACGATTGCTTGTACTACACTCGTTATCACGTTGCTCGGGTGTAGTTGGTTGGTCTTGTATACAGGACTATCTCAATTACTTTGTTTTGATTGTTGGGTGTGGTCTCCACTGGAAAATTGGTAATCGCTCACGGCTCCGTGTATGGACTCCATTGATTTCGCATTGTTGTTGTTATTTATTGCTTTGTAACACACTAAGTGTAGCAACCAGATTCTGATGACTGGTGTCTATGGAGCGATCCCTTTTTGCACCATACTTTCATCCCTATAGCTTTGATTGATGCATAGGTAACGCAGCTGAGATGTCCCACACCGCGTGGGAACTGCCTATCATGATCTTATTTTAGCGTTTCATCTGTTCCGATTTTCATATATCCACCTACAAACCTAACCCAGTGAAGGAAAATTATCTGCAGGGCTTGGAGATCGAGATACAGGTAAGTGCTAACAGCGAGTTATACTGGGCACGTGCGTGCATTTGTGCTGGAGTTTACCCGCCGCCATCGTACGCTGTAGGCCTTGTGCATAGTGGTGTGAAGCAGTTCAACGAATATGGTTTCACCCTTACGTAAAGTCTATCAGTCTAAGGTCTATTGTCGACAGCTTATTTGAGTCACGATTCTTTAACAAACACATGTGTTTGTCTCGAGCATGTGAGCGGATCTAAATATCATTCGGTTCTTTAAGTATTATTCGATTCTTTATTGCCATTTGCACAAGCATGCATCCGAATGCATTTTCGCTTTGTTTAGGAAGTGGTTGTACTCGCATGAGTGATGTTTGATTGATCATGATACGAGCACTTACGCTGGATTGACAACTGTAGTTCCCACATTTAGTTGACGCGTGGAACTCATTTACGGCTCCCACTCGAGGTCACATGTAGCTCTGCTGCTTCATAACACCTCTATGGCTGGCTTTGTATTCTGCATAGGAGTGGCTAGAGTCTGGGTTCGAATCGGCGGAGGTGAATGCGACTATAAAAGACATCAACACACCATGTAGTCTTCCAGAGGGATCCAACATGAACCAGACTGACCAACGTCCACAATCGGATGAAAGTAGGAAAGCGCCTGCAGAGGTGTGTTTATGGTGTTAGCTGCGTTTATTTCTGAGTAATAGCGCGACCGTGTAGTCGAGTAGAACTACTTTACGATGTATAGGAAAGCATACCTTGTTACACTCGCAGCTTGTTGCCGAGCGTGCCCCATTGTCCTGTATTTAAACGTATCGCATTGTCTCTAAAAAATCAAGTTGGTGTATTTACCTTGTTCCCCCCCCCTACTTCTCCTGTGGAAGGATCACAAAGTTTGAGTACCGTTTGACCTTAGTACGATGTATACAGGGATCAAGATATGTACCTGTTGTTGTTTAAGTAGAACAGCAATAACAAATACACGCCATACAACATAACTGATTTGTGAATCAAATTGTGTGTTAGACCAACGATTGGGACGTTGATGACTGGAATGAGGAGAATGACGGGTGGAGTGACGGGGACAGTGCCACCACGAAGACTAAAGGGCACACACACACCAAACGCAACGAGCCAGACAACAATGCGTGGGACAACGGCGCCGATGACTGGGGCAAGCAATCCGATGGATGGGATGAGGATAGTAGTGATGCGAGTGCGAGCACCTCAGAGGACGCCACCACACACCCTGCAGCTCACACACACGAGGATGGCTGGGGTAGCGCGGAAGAGGTGCCCATTGCGACGGTCAGGTGTGTTTACAGGGCTTGTGGGTGGGATTGAAGTCGGGGTGTGTGCCTACAGGACTCGTGGTTGGGATTGAGTGGGAATCTGGAGTTCTGTGTTTTATAGTGATTTGAATTCTGTTCGATTAGAGGGAGAGCAGATGCCACCTGCAACATGCAATGGCTGAGCCGGTGCGAACCTGGAGTTGGAAATAGAGTCATCAGAGACTCGTATAGCTGAACCGAGAGGAAGTGCGTGTTTATGGTAAGGCGTGAGTGTGGGCTTACGAGTGTGCTTGGGGTGATAGCATATGGCTTAGTGTTTTTTAATTCATCGTCTGAAGGAGTGGGTAGTGGGAAGGTACGGGTGTGGTGAGAAGTCTTCGTAGTAGTCAGAGTTCCAGGAGAATAGACTAGACTTTCATCGTATCACTCTGAATCGTAATTAGTGTCCGACGCAATACACATCTCCAGTGACGTGGTGTTTACGAGAAACTTTGTTTGTACATCGACAAGTGTATGGTTTTGTTCTTCAAGTTGAAACTGTTTGTACATCGGCAAGTGTAGGGTTTTATTCTTCAAGTTTCACCTCAGTATCTGTGCCACTGCAGATCACCAGCATTTGTACCATGTTCATCGAACTATCATTCTGCCCATCACCGCCATAGTTAGACTATTTGAATGGTTTTCTCATCCGCATGTGTCCATTTAGTAGTGTATTGCATCTTATGGAAAAGTAATATATATCTGGATTTTCATATATCTGTTCAACGTACTTCAAAATCATGATATCTAGTATGTCTTGAGCTTTCAGTACCGACCAGACTATTTCCGATATAATACGTGCCGCTTTTTAACTTCTTGACCCAGATTGTCTGACATGTTGAATACCATTTCACTACCGACAATATCTAAGTACAGGTATGTACCGCTTCTGACTGTTGCACCCGTCCGCGACTCCTTCTTCATCCCGTCCTTCGGTGGAACGATACCTTCGCTCATACCATCGGATGTGCCGAGTCTGTCAGGTACGTTGGCACTCTCTCTTTTTGTTGATAGGTTTGTCAACCTGTCCTCCGAGGCTATGGGTTGGTGGAGTGCAACTTATGCAAAGACTGTATCTATACTGCAAGCTCTGTAATGGTATGTGAATTGATCGGTGGTTTGATTGTGATTTTCCGGGGTGTGCACACAGATTATAGCATAAAGAAGGTCAATACGGGAGGCAAGCCTCTGATCGATCTGGAAGACCTACACACTCATAAACTTCCGAAGCAAGCTCAGAGATCCATTCGCGAGCTTGGATGTGCGCTGGTATGTGTGTTTGGCATAACGTAGCATATCACTTTTGTTTCAGAAGAATCGTCCCAGTTCGACATGAGATCCAGACGCTTGGAGCCACGAGCGCTAATCAGTATTAGATTTAGGTATACCGATGTATATCCATGTTTGTGCATAGACATATCAGGGACTGAAGTGACCCGATTTACAAGTATGAGGGTGTACACTTGGTGCTATGATCGTCATTTGCAGCTTAGTAATAGATTCGAGTACGCGCCTGTGTATATCCATGTTTGTGCATAGACAAAATTGACCCGATTTGCAAGTATGAGGATGTACTCTTGGTGCCATGATCGTCATTTGCAGCTTAGTAATAGATTCGTGTAAGCGCCTATGTGTATCCATGTTTGTACATAGACATATTAGGGACTAAAGTGACCCGATTTACAAGTATGAGGGTGTACACTTGGTGCTATGATCGTCATTTGCAGCTTAGTAGTAGATTCGAGTACGCGCCTGTGCATATCCATGTTTGTGCATAGACATATTAGGGACTGAAGTGACCCGATTTACAAGTATGAGGGTGTATACTTGGTGCTATGATCGTCATTTGCAGCTTAGTAATAGATTCGTGTATGCGCCTGTGTATCCATGTTTGCACATAGACATATTATGAACTGAAGTGACCGATTTAGAAGTATAAGTCCTACAATCGCATCCTCGCAGTTTGAGGCGACAATTTTGGCTGTGTTGAATCAGAAGTGGACATTGTGCCTACCGGTTCGTGGCCAAAAAGAATGGGCCTACATGTACATGTATCACCATGCCTTGGACATAAGCAAATAATAAGAATATTCGTGGCCAAAAAATGGGCCTACATGTACATCTATCACCATGCTTTGGACACATGAGAAGCAGATGAAAAACAGTGCTCACAGTACGCGTCACTTAGGGCTGTGTAAACGCATCATGAGCGCGTACACAGTTTATATTCAATTTATTCTGCGCATGCTCGTATGTTTTCTATTAACTCGCAGGTAGAGGCGACCGAGTCGCTTCGTGTGAAAGCGGATGTGTACTCTGTGGGCAATGTCGCCCGGTTGGTAGCCAAAGAATGTGTCAAGGCTCAGAAGTTGGGCGTCGGTGGTATGGTGTTCATAGTACGGAGTAGCACAAGCCGTTCATCCGCTGATGAATTAATTGGATAATCCTGATTTGCGCTTTCGAATTTCAGATTTTTAGATGTGACAGTGCCGATCTGCTACAAGCGAGCTTGTTTTGTTGTATTCGGATTCTTTTAGTGACTGTGCTTCGCATCTGCAGCCCTATTCGTAGTAACACATTGGAGGATGCACTGTCTTCCGGTGGAGTGTGTATTTTCTGTGATCAACCCCTCACAGAGTCTCACGTGCTCACATGCTTACACAACCACACAGACCATGATTATACAATCACACAGACCGACTATTCACATGATTATACAATCACACCGACCTACTTTCCGCCAACCGCCCACATTATCAACAGCTCACATTTGGTGGCAGCTACAGACTGTTATCATTCTCACACACCCCATATCCGCTGCGTTCTGCGTGCTGCACAGCAATGCATTCCCCTGCAGCCGAGCACGAGAGCGAGGCCAGTGGTGGGCACGTGCGCGCAGGCGGTTACTATTCCAAGGCTTCGCTGGTGCTGGTAGATCGCACACTCGACATTGCTGGGCCCATCTTGGCTGCGGACTCTATCGCCGATCTGTTGCTGAAGACTCTTTCGGTGTGTGATGGCTGTGCTTATATGTGTCCAGATGGTCTGTCTTTCCGCGTGTCATGTGTGTCTTGGATGGT